TAAACGGAAGATCGAACGTGGAAAATCCGCGATAGGTCCGCGCCTCGTCAACGGGATCCCTATTTTATGCATGAGGACGACGAGCTGTCCTGCGGCTCTCCAGAACGAAACTTAATTAAACCTTGCTCTCCTCGCGCAGCGTTTCCAGGGAGTAATGCGAATGAAAGAGACAATGCGCCGGAAACGTTGTTCCAGCAATTTGGGATTCGAGGTTCTGCCGATCTAAGAGTTAACGCTTTGCGAACGAATGTCGGCATTTTGATGAGATCGAACTTCCATGTTTGGAATACCCAGTTGTGAACGAATGATTTAACTGTGTGTGTTTTTTCTTGTAGTAACTAGGAAATCTCTCGCCCTTCTCTTTTACAATATTTAAAATTCTAATAAACCTATATTACAATTATCGAATATTCCATATCGAATTTAGGATATAACTTCATTCCCAAATTATTCACCAATTTCTCAATTAACTATACCTCGTTTAAAACTAGTTAACTTTCACAGAATACTCAAATCTACAATCATAAACTTATATACCAACGTCTCAATATTCCACTTAAAATGTACAATATAATCTCATTACTCCTAATTATCTGAAATGACTAACACTAGAACTACCGTATCAGTCAAAATGACTCGATTTGTTTGTTTAACAATTATTGATATCTTCGAAATGATTTTGAAAATAAATAGTTTCATTTGAGTACTACAACGAATGTCCGAAGAAATCGAAAATAATCTATTGTTCGAATTTTTATAGGAATTGCATGTTAACACATTGCGTACTGGCAACGAGAAATCTCGTTTTCGTATAAAGACACTCAGCTATGCAATTTCGCTAATTACTATAGTATTTGGAAAAATATGAAATTTGATTGAAATTGATTGTCTATTTAAAATACATTACATAACAATATATCTGAGTTTTTGTATGTACAGCAATATAAGTTGATCTCACTGAAAACTTCCATCCGAACAATTCAGTTTTCTGAAAAGTAGCCGGTACGCAATGTGTTAATCGCATTAAATGCTCGGTAGTTCTACCGTTGATTTCCGTTTTTCGAGCGGCGAGACGCTTCGTCCCGTAAGTTTCTTATCAGGCTCGCGCGGACCGAAAGTTTTCAGGATAGTTTTATTGAATCTAGTGCCGGGGTAATCTCTACGGCCCGTTTCCGGCCGCAAATAAAGCAAACCGCGAGTGGAGCAATCGTAAGTTCATCCTCGGAGACAAGAACTTCATCCCGGTCGGGTAGAAATGGTATTGTTATCGCGAATACCATTGCTTCCGCTCGTTCTTAAGACACCCACGGGCCACTCGCCGAGTTATACGTCTTAATTCGAAAGCGGAAATGAAAGTTTCACCTCGTTCCATTGATCCCGCGCGGTGCTCGCGGAAATTGCTGGCGGAAACGGCGATTAGAATTTTCGTTGACGCGTTCGCTGAGATTATCCGTGTAGTTAATTAATCGTGAGGTATCGTATGTTCAGATAATTAGGAGCGATGAGATTATATTGATTTGAATATTCTGTGAAAGAGATTAACCCTTTGCGAATGAAGAATCTTTGAAATATACTGAGCCTTCAGCGGATGAAATCAGTCGCGTTAATCTCACGACTCCTCAAGCCAGTGGAACACAAGTGGCGGAGATGAATATTTAAGCCGGCCGCAGGAGCAATACGCCGGTTCTAATAATGCTTAACCTTTCTACTAGACGTACCGCAGTCGCCGATGGAAGCTTAAAAGAAACTGACCTTTGAGGGGGTTAATATTTCAAGAGACGGTAACTCGCAGCGCGGCCGCCTGTATCCCCCATCCCGAAAATTCTAGTACTCCCATAACGAAAATCAAAAGTTACCAATGTATAGTTATCTACTCTCTACTAGACAAAATGATTTCAAATGATTTTCATTTGAGAAATAACAATTTTCTACGGATAAATACTGTTTCTCTATTTATACAAAATCTTGACCGAAACGCGAAATACGCATTACCATTGAGAAAACCTCATAACATCCCCATAACGCGAAGAAAACACACAACCACCATAAGCTTAGGTCCGTACCCTATAACTTTTGTTCGAAGTATTTGTTTGTATCGCTCGTAGTTTTTAAGTTATCTAGAGAACGGCTGTTCGGTCGCGTCGTGCGTCGGTCTGAATAACGGCCGACCTGTTCTACTAGCTGCGTTAGAGTTACCCCATTATTTCGGGCAGGCATCGAGCCAGTGGAATAAACCCGTGCTGCCCGGACAGAGAGGGACCTCGATATTTCATCGGACCAGAAGAAACTCGCGTCGCAAAGACAATAGAACGGAGAATGTTTTGCCGGACGTTTATCTATTCTACTTGGCTATCGACCCACTTTGTCGGGCTGATCGAAGCGTTCCGCTCGGAGAGATGTCGGCGCTTTGGCTCGCTGGATTTGTTGATGGTGGGACAATCGTTTTGATGATTCGCGTGTCGATGTGCTTGCGATAGTGTGGTAACGGGAATAATTACTACTGTTATTGCTAGCCTTAATAAATAATAAGAATTATTGGTATTGCTAGTTGTCTGTGCACAAATATTAAGAATTATTGTTACTAGTTGTCTCTGCACAAATAATAAAAATTATTATTATTATTACTATTGCCATTGCACAAATATTAAGAATTATTACTGTTACTAGCTGTCTCTGCACAAATATTAAGAATTATTATTATTACTAGTTGCCACTGCACAAATAATAATAATAATAAGTATCTCTATGATAATAATAAATTATTGTGATAATAATTAACAACAAGTCTACTAATATTATTGTAATACTAATAGATTTATTATTATTACCATTATCATTATTTCTGCAGTGATGACTAGTAATAAACCCCAATATTACAGTAACATTAATAGATTCATTATTAACAATTACCACAACATCAATAGCCACATTGCAGTATTTTCGAATGCAACAATAAATAACAATAAACTAAGTAATGTCGACGCAATTTCCAGAAGGACCGAGAGCACTTTGGATCGAGCAAGTTTAAAAGGGATCTTCGGTCGAACTAGTAGTATAAAGCTGTCTGACCGAAGGCAAGGGGAGTGGGTCGATACCTAGAGGCCAGCGAGTAGAATAAGCTTGCACCGCGGAGCCAGTAGAACGGGTCAACGTATCAGCTGCCCGGTGTTTACAGTTGCACAGCGTTCGATTCTCGGAAATAATACAAATGTTGCGCTGTCTCTAATGCAATACTGCAATTTCACGCTGTATTTATATACAGTAGCGTTCAAAAGTTAACCAGATCGTTTTCAGATCTTTCGTTACTTTTTCTTATTATCACGTATAAAATATAAGAAAATCGACATCTTTCACACATTTTTCTAGAAATTCAACCTGTTCGAAGGTTTTCGAACAGAATGTTTAACAAATGAAATGCTTGTTTTTTATTGTTGTAATTCAATGTATTTGACGTAATTAATGTTAAATATTTTACAACCCGCGATCTCGATTTAGTAACAACGAATAAAATATACTTTTGTTTTCGAAAATCTCGTTATTACTATTTCTTGTGTTAAGCTGTGTAATAAATATACATTTGTAAAACTTGTACCAGCTTTTCACTTCAATATTTTCTTTTCCCTATTTGCGTCACATCGATGCGAAGTGGACTCGATTCGAGAAACGATTTGGACAAGGAACTTCCGAACGCCGGTGTATAATAGGCGGTGTAATGATTGGTCACTTTTCCCAGCGTGCCTTATCTGAAACGATCCCATCGCGTCTGCGACAGCTTCGAGGATTCCGTTGATGCACGCGGAATTTCGGTTGCTTTTCTTCCTTCCTCTTCTAATCTCAATAATTCGCGCGTGACTTATCGTCGCGTTGTCCTGCCCACCGATTAACTCGCTGATTCCATCGGGAATTGAACCTTGGTCTAGTTTTTTTTCTGATTTTACGTGAAGCTTTCGGTGGAGAAGTGAATTCGAGTTGATGATACTGAGTAGTTGGTTTAACCCCTTAACGCACAGTTCTTTTGAAAAAAATCGGCCAAAAACAATCAATTTTGATATACTGCGCTTTTGTTCCATGGAAAAAGGCTATATTTTATTGTTGAATAAATATGTGTTATAGCTTACAATCCCATGTAAATGATAAATATCAATAAAACGATTTTTTTTCTTTGCTTTCACATTGTTATTTTCACAGTTTGGCCTGTTTGGCGCGCTCGAATCAACTCGAGTGTGCAAGTTAAGGGATTAATTGAAATTTTCGAGTTTCGGTATGAGAAATAACTACCTAGGAATTTCATGATTCCTAAAATCCAGTTGAGTAAAAGGTTGTTTGATAGGGTAATCATTTAAAGCGATTAAAATTTGGGAATTTCAGGATCTATATGAAACTGAAAGCTTTGTCAAAAGCCTTGTGATTGCATTCTGATGAATGAAGCTTTGTTCTACAGATGAATCATCATTGAGAATTAAAGTAGGGGAATTCGATAATCCCTACAAAATTCACAGATTTATTGGAGAACTCGTAATTGCCACTGATGAATAAAATTTTGGTAAACAGGTGAATTATCTATGACAATTAAACTTTAAAAATTTGATAATCCCAATAAAATTTAAAACTCAATCAGAGATCTATTTTCAATTAACAAATAAAACTTTCTTAAACTGGTGAATCATGTGTAACCATTAAACCTTAAAGTTAGAAAATTTCAATGAAATTTAAAGTTCAATCAAAGATCTCCTAATCCTAATTAACGAATAAATTTTGTTAAACAGATGAATCATCTATGACAATTAAACCTTAAAAATTCGATAATCCCAGTAAAATTGAAAGCTCAATCATTAGATGTCCTAATTCTAATTAACAAATAAAACTTTGTTAAACAGGTGTACCATCTATGACAATTAAACCTCAAAAATTCGATAATCCCATTAAAATTGAAAGCTCAATCAAAGATCTCCTAATGCTAATTAACAAATAAACTTTGTTAAACAGGTGAACCATCGGTGGCGATGATAGGGGCGAATTTGAGGTTTGGTATCGGCGCCTCGGGTAACGTGTCGTCGAACGCGACCAAGGTTTTTCAGTGTCATCCGGGCGGAGCGACCGAGGCCACACTCATATTCAGCCTCGGTGCCCTCGGCATGGGGGCAAACTTCGTCCTGATGGCTCTAATCCTGGCTAAACGACAGTTACGCAGGTAATTTCCGCGAGAACCACCGCGGCGGACCACTTACACCGCGCTATCTCGCGATTGTGCCCTCGTGCAACCCGCGGAATATAGTCCGAAGAGACGTGACCTTTCAACTTCTCGACGTTCAGCGGAGAACGATCTCCGAAATATCGACTTTATCTCCCCGGTTACACAGGGGACAACGTAACTCACCTACGAAACGAAGTCTATATTCTTCAATAACGAAAGATAACCAATTGTCGAAGGGAAATGTAGTTCAACCTATTTGCACACCGAGAATGCGTATTTTCGAAGCTGATATTCGATTCGCGTTAAATGTAATGAAGCTGACGGTTGGGAGGAAGGTGTTTTAAGTTTCTCGGAGTCTAAGGATTGAAACAATTTATTTCCGGAGAGGAAGAATAGGGAAACCTACTGTCAGTAATTAATTAATGGAGCCTTCGATTCGATTCCGAACGGGCAACTAACTTAGGGTATGCACAGATCCAATTTCCAATCAAATATAACGAAACTGTCACTTATAGAAGAATACGTATCAAGTTTCTAGAACCCTAATTAACAATCAAATTATCTTCCCATTCAAAATACAGACCACCGAAACCTACGATCAGTAATCAACCAATGAAACCTCCATCCCTCCAAACACCAAACTTAGGGTATGCTAGCACACTTCCAACTCCCAATCAAATATACCAAAACTGTCATTAACAAAAGAATACGCATTAAGTTTCTAGGACTCTAATTAACAGTGAAATCAACTTCCCGTCCAAAAATCAGACCACCATAATCTACAATCAGTAATCAACCAATGAAACCTCGGTCCCATCTCTAAACAAGCTAACTCAGTATGTCAGCCGATTCTGTCAGCTGGCAACAAATCCGAGCAGAATTTCCCCAAAACACAGATCAAACGTTACGTTAACATCCCCAGATCGACCGAGTGTCAACGACAGCGCTGCCAAATGATTTCCCATTGTGTCCCAGGTGGTCGCAAGGATTGCTGTTCCACCAGGCGATGGTGGACTGCGCGAGAGCCGCCATTTTATTGCCCCTCGGTTCGAGCATCCTGAACTGTCAGCCGATGACCAAGTGTTCCCTGGTGGAGACAGCGTTTCTGCTGCTGGTGACGGTCTCCACGGTGAACATGCTGACGACAGTGCTGAACGACAGCCCGATCTTCCCGGAGACCGACGAGGAGGCCGATCTGACGGCCCCGTTGCTCATGGACTCGCCCCAGGCAAGCGTGTTTACGTATCTTTATTTAGATTTCCATTTTTCTTCGGCCGTATCGATCTGGCTTTCACCCCTTAGCCGAACGAACACGGCCGGAGCTCGCCGCGAAGATTTCTCGCTGGATTCAACGGGAATCAATGCTCCTCCTTCGACGATAAATTATTTGGCTGGCCTAAATGTCTGGTTTCACTTTTCGTTGCGCTCCTCCTATCGTAATTTACGAGTGACCGGCGTGAATCGGTGAAAACGACGCCGAGCTTCGTGTGGAAATTTATTCTGTTTCTGGTTCAAAGGTTGTTGGTGGTTCGATGTGTATTATTATTGTAATTTTGGGAATTGGAATGATTTTTAGCGAGGCAGTTTCAACTTTTGAATAGTTGGTCGGATTGATGAATTATTAGTGTCTTCTGGTCGATGTTTGTTCATTTCTCAAACCAATAGTTTAGTCGAACGAAAGTTTCCCTTAAATTTCGTTTGAAGAGAAGTATTCTGATGAATTCGTGTACAATAGAATTTACGAGTGACCGGTGTGAATCGGCGAAGACGCGTGGAAATTTATTCTGTTTTTAGTTCAAAGATTGCTGGTGGTTCGATGTGTATTATTGTAATTTTATGAATTGGAATGATTGTTTATCGACGTTGGATTCTTACTGAGGCTGAGAGTTTCAACTTTTGAATAGTTGGTCCGATTATTGAATTATTAGTGTCTTCTGGTCGATGTTTCTTTATTTATTTATTTTTCAAGTGGAACAGGCAGTGAATAGTTTAGTCGAACGAAAGTTTCTCTTGAATTTCGTATGAAATTTATTCTGTTTCTAATTCAAAGATTGTTGATGGTTCAATATGTATTATTATTGTAATTTTATGAATTGGAATGATTATGTTTATCAACGTTGGATTTTTAGCGAGACAGAGTTTCAACTTTTGAATAGTTGGTCGGATTAATGAATTATTATTGTCTTCTGTTCGATGTTTGTCCATTTCTCAAGCGAAACACGCAGTGAATAGTTTAGTCGAACGAAAGTTTCCCTTGAATTTCGTCCGAAGAGAAGTATTCTGGTGAATTCGTGTACAATAGAGAATTTAAGATTTGTTCAAGTAAAAGTTCCTCGGAGAATGCGACTCAATGCAGCGTTCGGAGGAGAAGGAAACAGATTTGAGATAATGAAGAAACTTCGGTGGAACAAGGAAATTTCCGGGCGGGAGGGAAATTTACAAAGGAACGATTATCCCTGCTAATTGGACGACAAGTTGATTCAGACGATCGATTGTCTTACCTCGAGCTGGCGCGGTTTGGACGAAAGAAAGATGAATCGCCATTTCGTGGATTCGTCTGGGATTCGAAGATTCAATGCTCGAGGAAAATCGTTACGAAAGTGTAATTAATCATGAATTCTATCCAGCTATAAAGATACACGTAATATAAACTATAATAAATATAAAATTAAATTTTTCATTTACTGGAAAGTTAACAGAAAACATGAGTTTCTACTTTGAACTATTTAAAACAACTTCTGATTTTCTATAATGAATTATCTGGTAATTAAGATTATATAAATTTCAAAAAGATTTCCTTTGTCGTTGAAAATTCATTGAGTTATCAGAAGAGATTCTTATCGAGAATCGTTTCGTTTTTCAAACGGTAGACATGAAAAAGGTTCCAAGCCACGAGCTCCTTCGCTCGCGCGTATATTCTCCGCGGCTGAACTTAATTAAGGGACTTAAGTAACATAAAAGGCCTTTTAACCGAGCTCAAGTTTCGGATCGATTTAACAAGTGTGAGCGAGACCTTAATATAAAGCGCGGCTCGTGGAATTAAACGCGGGGCCGAAAGTGCCACTCGACGATTATTTCCAGTAAACGCGACGGTCAGGCAAAAATTCCATCGGTTCGATTAACGATAGAATTACCTGTTCAAATAATTGCTCACCGTTTTCTTCTTTTTTTGTTATGGATATTCTGAAAGGCATTCGATGTGGAAATCATTGAGGAAATTAATGCTACGGTGAATACCAGAGGAAATTTGAGAAATTCGTTGGTAGATATTTCAGAAAAATTACTGGTTATTTTTGTTAACGAAGCCTTTGGGATTTTATAATAATTGTGTTTTAGGGAAATTTTATAAAAGTAGATCAATCGATGCATTATTTCTTTTATCGAAGGCTTTGAAATTTTGAAAGAGTATTCCTATAATAACTTTACAAAGATTTTATAAAAATTTGGATCAATTGCGTTATTTCTTTCATCGAAGGCTTTGAAATTTCGAAAGAATATTTTTATAACAATGTTATTATAGAATAATATAATTTCCATACTAATTACATTTTAGAATAACGCGTGGCCGTTGTTTACGCGTCGCTTTATCGATTTCGCCGATGTTATTATAAATATTGAGATAATATTTTATTTATTCCCGAGCACGCTTCATCCGTACCGATCAAACGTATTCCTCGCTGTCAGGGAATTTCATAAAACTCGTCCCAGGAAACGGGGATCCACGCGAAGATCCTCGAGCTACTTAACCCGCTTTAATTACGTCAGACATTTCAATAAACCGCGGTGTCCTGGGACGCGTGTGCTCGACCACATTTCAATTTATATTTACACACGTCACGTGCCTGCGTCTCTATAAAAACAGGTCTGTCCGCGAAAAATCTGGTTCTAGTGTAATTGGATTTCAAGGGGAAAAAAATCAAGAATGAAATCGTAGATTTTCATTTCAATAGAATTGTATTTTAAGGAAAATAGAGGAAGAAGTGATGAAAACTGGTAAATCGATCATTTGAATACCTGTAATCAACTATTAACCGACAAATTTCAGTATCAATCCACTTAAATCTAAAATGACTAGAGGAAAAATAATGAAACATCGTGAATCAATCAATTGGTCGCCTATTAAGCAAGCTCCAACAGCAATCCATGTAAATTCAAAACTAATCACTAAACAAATTCCAATACCAATCCATTGAGATTCAAGAGAACGAGAGAAAAAACATTAAAAAATCATGAATCAATCATTTGATCGTCACTAATCACCTATTAACTACCAAACTTCAACAGTGGTCCATATAAATCCAAAACTAAATCCATTAATAACAAATTCTTCATTAACCCTTTGCATTAATAATTTGCATCACTGCAAGTGTGAAATGTTAAGTTAAAATAGCTTTGTTTTTCAATTTAGATTTCTTTGTTTTCCTTCTTAATACAAAATTTGGATGTATAGAAGATCCAGTGATCTTAGGGTAGTTCTTCGAAATTTATTTATTAAAATATTTAACGCTTTGCACTCGAGAGGTGAATAAAGTTGAACATTAAGTATTTTAAATTAAACTTTGCATTGCTATGCGGATTATTTAAATAAAATAGCTTTGTTGCTTAACTTATCTGTGAATTATCGTTAAATTAGTTTCAAGTGTCGTCTGTACCTCGTCGAAAAATACTGAAAATTTCCAGTGAAAATTTTTCGAGTGCAAAGTGTTAATATTATATCTTCTCCATTTTAACACGCTTAGTGCCACGTGTACCACATGTGGTACACGTTAATTTTCGTAACAAAATATTTTCAAGGGACACATGGTCAATAGCTGTATACGTTACAAAGCACCGAAAACATCAAGAAACGATATCAAAATATATAAAATTAAAAAAAAAAAACTTGAATATAACTTAATATTTCATTTGAATATGAAATTGAATACTGATTCATCTTGAATCAAAATATGACCGAAATTTCCGTGGCACGGGACGTGTTAAGGTATTGAGAATGGATCGCAAAGAGTTAACGAACAAGCTCGACGCATATAAATTCAAAGGAACCCGACGCAGGGCAAATAAAACCTGATAAATCCGTGGTCGGCCAGCAACGATCGGCCGTTGAACGACAATTTCTCGTGATCCGTCCGGCGACGTGTTAAGGTCGCCGGCCGCGGCTCGTCTAAACGGCGCGTCACAATTAATTCCGTTGTGAAAGCGCAGTCATCCCGCCGCGGACAGTTTACACCGCAATCGTACGCCATGGGGTCCGCGTCCCTAACAATGCAGGTGACGCTTCCATTACACCCGCGCGCGGGCTGAATTCTTCCATCAAATGCACGTGTTACTGCTCTCTCTCACTCTCTCTTTCTCTCTCCGCTGCCAATTTGCACGCTTTCCGGCGGCCAGCCCTTTCGAATTTCGTAAAATAACCTGGACTAATCGCTGAACCCGTGTGCCGAGTGCTGACACATCGTTGGACAGGTGCCGCGATCGATCCCTGTCGATCCGATCGAAATTCAATCAAATCAATGTTACATTGCGTAAGAGAAATCTCGTTTTTATGTGAAGACACTTAGCTGTGTGACTTTGAATTGGTTATCTATTTAAAATATATTACATAACGATATGATATCGGAGTTTTTCTATGTGTAGTGATATAAGTTGACCTCAGTGAAAATTGCCATCCGCAATTATAGCAATAGTATTATAGTAATCTGTTGTAGATTAACTTCAACATCTTATGAGTTACTATACTTCAACATGACAACTTATACTTCAACATCAATATAATTCTTTGTACATTTACGATATCGTGTTAGGTATGCGATGAAAGTTTCAAGCTGAATCTTATATACTTAAGTGTTATTCGTATTCTCCAAATATAAATTAAATGCCAATTTCCTATTATTACTCATTAGCCTTTGAAGTAAACGTAGACACAGAGCATCAAAATTCCGCCTTTTTCTAATGAATCGTTAACGATAAACCAGTCATGTCGACTATAACTAAGAACTGAAGCATAAAGCAATAAATAAAACAAATTAAACATTACTTTCCCATCACTACTCAGTAACCCTTGACCTAAACGTAATACAGAGCACCAAAATTCGACGTTTCCCTACTAAATCATCAACAACAAACCAGTTACATCAACCATAACCAAGAACTAAACCATAAAGCAATAAATGCAATAAAGTAAACATTACTTTCCCATTATCAGTAACCCTTGACCTAAACGTATACACAGAAATTCCGCGTTTCCCTACCAAATCATTAACGATAAGCCAGTGACATCGGTCACAGCTACGAACTAAACCATAAAGCAAAGGGTTAATCACCTTGCGGAATGAACATCCCCCGCAATCAGCATCGCGAGCAGGAAACTCGAGATGAACCGAAGATCTCGGTGGATCGCTGCCGGTGTGCGGTATCGATCGCGTAATTGACAGAAAGAGTCCCTGAAACGTTGCATCTCGCCGGCGAGTTTCTGCTGACCGCGCGCACCTCCGGCGTTTCCTTTGATACGCCGGTTGACGTATCATAAACCCAATTTTCTGCGGGATCTTCCGCGCCGCGGCCCTCCGTGCCGCATGCGGCAGGAAGTTGCGGCGCGGAGAAGCTGCCCGGACATCTCGGTCACCGGTTCCGCCCCGCGGACGCCATCTGCTCGCGAGACGCAGACGTCACTCTGTATTTATGCGACGGAAACTTTCTACGACCTGTAAATTTCCGGCGAGTTCTGCGATTCTTCCTTTTTCGGATTGAACGGAGGATGGAATTGAAGGTGAATGAGGATTGAATGAACTGAAGGTGAATGAGGATTGAATGAACTGAAGGTGAATGAGGATTGAATGAACTGAAGGTGAATGGGAGTTGAATTAATTGAAGGTGAATGAGAGTTGAATAAATTGAAGGTGAGTGAGAGTTGAATGAATTGAAGGTAAATGAGAATTAAATGAATTGAAGATCAATGAAAATTGAATGAATTGAAGGTGAATGAGAATTGCACGAATTGAAGATGAATCGGAAATAAATGAATTAAAGATGAATGAGAATTGAATTAATCGAAGACAAATGAGAATTAAATTCCAAACTTCAAACATTAACGAACCCCTGTGAAATTTACATTTCCCATACTGCAAAGCTGATGAATATAAAACAGAAACAATGTTGCAGATCATTTCCTCGAATTTTCTGCACAGTTTCCCTCTCGAATGAAAGTTCTTATTTTTAATGGAAACCGTAGCTGAGAGATGGACATTTCTGATTGCAGTGCGTCCTGTTCGGGACGTTCATGATCTGGTTCGCGAGCATCACGATAAACCTCGGCCCGACATTTTTGAGCGGAGCTCTCGCCGCGAACACGGAGACCGGCCACAACGCGCCGAGCTGCCCTTTGGTGCACGGCCCGTTCCGACATTACATTCTGAATGCACTCTGGATCGCCATCAACATGATCTGCGTTGCGCTCACGCTGATACACCTCAGGAAACTCCACAAAGATCTCACTAAAGCGAACGTCGAAGCGGTACGTTCGTCCCTTAACGAAGGCTTTGTGTCTTATCGCAGTAGCTGCCAATGAAATTGCAGAGTGTACTGATTTCAAATTCTTATTATTCGTTGCTTTCAAGTTGAAACTCATCTTTGCGAATTTTCACGGTTCTATGATGGGGAAATGTGAATTTAGTTCGTGTTTCTGTTTTTGGAAAACTGATTTCAAGTTGTTATGAGTTGTTTTGAAGTTGAAGCTGATCTTTGCAACTTTTCACGGTTCTCTGATAGGGAGATGTGAATTTTCTGTTTGTAGAAAACCGATTTTAAGCTGTTATTAGTTGTTTGGAAGTAAAATTTAATCTTTGCGACTTTTCATGGTTTAATGATGGGGAAATCTAAATTTAGTTCGTGTTTCTGTTTTTGGAAAACCGATTTCAAGTTATTATTAGTTGCTTTGAAGTTAAATTTTATTTTCGCGACTTTTCACAATTCAACCACGAGGAAACGGTTTTCAAAAAACTGATTTGAAACTATTATCTCCAATTTTCAAATTAGAACGAACAAATTTGCAATCTTCTCGGTTCCCCGAATAAGAAAATATCTCTTAATCTCTCGCATTAAAATCATTACATCAAATATCATTCTGAAACGAGATACTGTCAAATCTAACAACAGTATTATTTCATTTCCCATTAACTAATCTCAGTAAATCTAGCCCAATATTCTATAATCTCTTACTTAAAATCACACGTCAACACAATTTCATTCTATATTTCCCCAAATGCAATTAACTAAACAATCTCTCCTTACCGATGCAATTTCCATGGCAACTACTCACCAATACAAAACACAATCAAACAGCTGAATCACACACTCGACAAGGAAAAGACAGAACGTTCATCCCTGCTCTATTTTGTAAACATTCAGTTCTCCTCATTACATTTTTCTATCCCACTTAAGTTTCCCTAATTCCCCAATTATCCTAACTTTAATTTTCCGATCCCTTTCGATCGCGTTCGCTCGAAATTTCCCGGGGAATCCGGTCGCGCGGATGAAAACCCGTGTTCTGTTTTAATCGAAACGATTTCTGTGTCAGGTGAAAGTAGCACTGCTAACGATTCTCGTGAATGCGACCGGTAATCAGCAAACAAACGCGGTTCCTGAAAATTCCGGCGCATCCGCGAACGGCGGGACGCCCAAGGTAATAATCACGGCCATCAAAAAATCATTTCCACCGTTTACACGGCAAACTAATGAAACGGGGCGCCTCGGAACGAATTTCAATCAACGTCGACGTCCCAGTTTTGCGTTCCTTTCGCCAAAACAATTTACGAGCAACGACGCTTTCCGTTGCGCTGCCATTTTGTTGCTATCTACCAGAAGGTTGGAAGCAGTCGTACCGATAGTAGAAAATTATTTCGGATAGAGATTCTGTTCATTTCTGCCCTTTCGATTCGAACTTCGAACCTGATGTCCTAATGATGTTTTCTCGTTTGATCATTTGTCCCGTATAGTTTCCTTTATTTCATACTGTAGTCTCCTTTTTCTAATTGTTTCTTTAATTTTCTCCCTGTGTTTTCTAATTTCAGACTGAATTTTCGTTGTTAGGCTCGAACTGCTTCGAAGCTTTCGAATAGTTGGTAACATTCGGAGAAAGTTGAATTAAGGAAATTGAATTAGATTTTTGAATATTCTGAAATTTTGGAGATTGAATCTTAAAATTTGATTGATACTTTGAAGGATGAATGTTTTGAATATTGAATCGTTTGCAAATGGAATAAAATCTTTGCGAAATTAATGGATGTTTAGCGAGTAAACAGTTTATAGATTGAATTGTTAACAGAACACAATGATCTCGTCGTTCAGTTTATTGAATGAATCCTTTGCTAATGGAATAAAATCTTTGCAAAATTAATGGATGTTTAGCGAGTGAACAGTTTATAGATTGAATAGTTAAGAGAACACAATGATCTTGTTCAGTTTATTGAATGAATCGTTTTCAAATGGAATAAAATTTTTGCGAAATCATTGGACGTTTAGCAAGTCGAGTGAACAGTTTATAGATTGAATTTTTAAGAGTAGAATATAATGATCTCGTCGTTCAGTTTAACAATGGAATCGTTCGCCCGGAAGTTTCGGTGAAAATTTGCTAATGATTCGACGATGCTCGCGTTGAAAGGGTTAATACGCGGGACCCTCGAGGAGCCTAATTAAAGTGAAGTTCAACCTAAATTTCGCAACACGTTTCGCCGGGCCCCCGGTTCAGAATGTTCTAAACGTTGCATCGGCCCGTTTGAAAAGGAAGTTTCACTTCAGAGAAGCGGAGCGGCGGAGGAGCACCGTAAAATGAGGAACTACTTGAAGAGGATGGAGAGGGAGGGGGTGCAGAGGGTGAAAATGTTTCTGGTGATAACGGCGGCCTACGGCATCTTCTGGGGACCACTGTTCTTCGTCACACTGGTGGATCATCCTATCATTGGGAATCCAACTGGCTACGAGGTAAAAAAACAATCGAGAAGTTCGGAGTTTAGAGCTACCAGAACAATTCGAAATTCACGATCTGAGAAGTTTGAAACTTCGAGTATAAACGATTTAGAATTTACAATCTAAAGAATTTGAAATTTGAAGTCTGAACAATTCGGAATTTACAAGTGAAGGAATTTGAAATTTGAAGTCTGAACAATTCGAAATTTACTATCAAAGGAATTTGAAATTTGAAGTCTGAACAATTCGGAATTTACAAGCGAAGGAATTTGAAATTTGAGGTTCGAACAATTCGAAATTTACAATCACAGAACTTCGAGATTTAAGGTTCAAAGGATTCGGAATTTAAAATCCAAGGAATTCGAAACTTACAGTCCAAACAATTTGAAATTTAGAATAAAAAAAATTCGAAACTTAAAGTTCAAACAGTTGAAAGTTTGCAATACAAGAAATTCGAAATTTAAAGTCCCAATAGAACGAGGAATAAGAGAAAAAAGATGTGTAGAGCAGAATCCAGTGAGAAGCAAACAGAATTTCATATAATACAGAATCTGGTGCAAAATTTAGTGTAGAATTGCTTACGAGAATCAACAAGAATCACAACGAAACACAGAGGAACTCATTAAAAAGACAGAAAGCTCGCGGTAACCTAAATGGGTCAACGCGTCCCCATTCACGTGGATCACTGAAAAACCACCCCCGGGCGCTGATATCGAAGAATATGGATGCGGCACGATGTCGCAACCGTCCTAACCACATCAAATTAAAAATTTTACCTGCGGATATTCGAGTCATAGAGATTTACAAGTTACGAACATCAAAACGATACAAATTTTCAGGTTACAAAGGTTCTATCTACACAAATGTCCAAGTTATAGAAATTCTATAACCACAAATTATAGAATTACCCAAGTTACACAATTTCAGACGAAACTTTCCAAGTCACACAGCCTTTCAAACACTGCAAACTCAAACTTCCAAGACTCCCAAATCCAAACTTCCAAACCTCAAAAATCCTCAACCCAACAATTCTAAATCATCTAAACTCCCAAGTTGCACACTTAAAAATTCCTCGGCATCAAATCAACAAACATGTTACCATTCAACCAATCATCTAACCATTTTCAACAAAAAATCACAAATTTCTAGATTCAATTCCTAAAATCCAATCAAAAGACATTCCCGAGAACTCGAAAGAAACGGAGAAACCTCAAAAAATCCTCAAACCCACCAGTTCTAAATCATCTAAACTCCCAAATTGGTTGAATTGCCATTCCAAAAATCCAATGAACAGACACTCCCGAAACTAAACTCAAATTGCACACCTAAAAATTCCTCAGCCTCGAATCAACGCACACGTTACCGTTCAACCAACGAAAAAACACAAATTCCTCGATTCGACTTCTATGAAAGTCTACAGATTCCCGAGAACTGGAAAGAAACGGAGAAACGGTTGCAGGTGACGCTACATATCGCGTACATCCACGCATTCGTGAACCCGGTGCTGTTCCTGAGCCTGCACCGCGGCCTGCGGCAGGGTCTGTCCGAGTTTTTCTGCGGCTGTTGCGAGGGCATCGCCAGCTGGATACTGGGCCCCAGCATACCGGGTGAATCGGTGCAACCGCCGCGCTACCAGGAGCCCATTGAAGCGGTGCCCTCGCCGCCGGAGCCGCCCGCGGCGCAGCCTAACACCTGCCCGGACCTCACCGACGTCGCCCTTCTGAAGCCGCCGTTGCCGCCGACGGGCAAACATTTGCTGGTATTGCTCACGGGAACACCGCTATTACACGGCAAACTTTCACCTTTCACCCCTGTCACGACGGGGATCAACGGGCACGCTTTTCTCTGCACGCTCCAGCGGGGATTGAAAAGCTTCCGAAAATAACTGTTCCAAACGGTTGTGTATCTCGTTCCCACTGTGTTACGGAAGTTATGCAGTTGTCTTTCGGTTCTTTGAATCATTTTGGAGAACGAGAAATAACAGTTGAATGTTTGTTTGAATCACGGTTTTGTAGCTGGTGGTTTTCGGTTCTTGGAACAATTATGGGAAACTGAGATTGATGAGTCTTAAGTTTTGTAGAATTGGGAAATGTTAGTTTGCAAATGACAGTATCACTGGTGTTTTTCGGTGAATGTTTTGGGAACCGAGGAATGATGGTTATAGAACTTTTATGAAATTGATGACATAGAAACATAGGAATTACAGAATCAAGGAACCTACGTAATTCAGAACAACAAATAACGCTTATTTTTTGCAAAATGACAGTTACAGAATTTATATAAGATTTTCAAGAAACACCAGTTCTACAACAGTTCTCCTTTTTTTTTAAATCATTGCCGAACCAAATCACAGAAACTACAGAACCAAGAAACCCACATAACTCAAAACAACAACAAAGAACGCTTATTTTTGCAAAATGACAGTTATAGAGTTTGTATAAAATTCTCAAGAAATACCAGTTCTACAACAGTTATTCTTCTTTTCTTAAAATCATTGTCGAACCAAAATACAAACACTACAGAATCAACAAACCCACACAACTCAAAACAACGAAAACACTTACAACTCATTTCGATTCTCCAGAACTCATTCCAGAACCGAAGGACCAGTCTCACAACTGTTTTCAATCCCCGCGCTGGACGGACGAAGCGCGCGTCCGGGAAACGATGAAAGGAAGACTCGCAATTTCGGGATTCCCCCGTTTTTTTCCCACCCCGCGATCGTTTGCACCCCGATCGAGCGAATTCTTGATGCAGCTCCCGTGTTTGCGATCAGTTTCCCGGGGAACTAAGGAAATTCTTCTGATTCCCGGTCCACGGTTTTGATGGGACCATGCCGCGGAGGATATTGGCAGATTTTCGCGGTGTTTCCTTCGCGGTTGATTGGATTGCTCCGAAATTCGGGCGGCGGGAGCGATTTCCTTCGGGAAACGAGTTTTGGGGGTTTGTACCAGTTTTTTGGGGCTTTGCGGGGGATGAGTCTATCTTTTATAGCCTCCCGAGACGCGAGCCAGCTCTTCGAGTCTATTTACACGTGTCGGTCTCCGCGATGACTCTGTCATTGATGTTTCTAGACTGTCACCTACATTTCTCGATTATTCCTTAATTTTTCTATATTTTCCGAACAACAATAGTATAGAAAACTCGGTTAATAAATTACAAACCCGAAGAAGAATTATAACATCGATTATAAATTCTTTTTAGATCTACATTTTAGATTATCTCGAGGAAAGCAATTATTTCGAAGATGATCGGGATTCACTGATTCGTGTAAATAGACCCTTGTGCTTCAATGAACTTTTAATAGAGCACAATGGATTCGAAGGAATGATCGTCCTCCAGAAAAATTGTTGAATTGCATTGTTTAAAATGATTCTTCAAAATTTGACATATCGAAAGATCTGTTGTTGTCAGTGACTCAAATTTGGCGTCCAAGAATCTGCTGTGTTTTGTTAGACAGCATGTGGAATTAATTTAAATCTTTATCAGTGAGCCTGTTAATCCTTTGCGGACGAATGTTGACATTAGAGAGATCGAATTTTCATAGTTGCAGCGCTAAGCAACAAACAAATGATTTAGTTGTTGAAACAGCAAGAGATTAGTATGTAGTTTCCTTAGCTAAATCATTTGTTTGTAATTTGGTATTCCAAACATAGAAATTTGATTCCGGCAAAATGCCGACGTTCGTCCGCAAAGGGTTAATTAAGCAGTCGATACGTGATTCAGCTTCATCTGCTGAAAGTTTCGATTTCGAAGAATCCTCGTCCGCTAAGGGTTGAATCGCATGTACATTGTTGCTTTTTCCTTGAAATTTAGGAAACGTTTGCATGTCGCATTTCGCTGGACACAATGTCCCTCGTATTTACGAGCACGTGAAAAAACTGGAACGTAGAGAATGGTTGTAGTAATTTACTATAGCACCAACGGGACCACAAGCCATTCTGCATGAAAATTTACGAACGTCCGTCCTGTGCTTGGAATTAATCGAAATTCATCGCTCGAAAATAATTGAAAATTTTTGATCGACGAATTTCTGCTAGATATTTTATAAGGTAATTGAATGCTGAGAATAATTTCGTTTCTTGGATTGTGCCTCAATGAATTTTTTAATGTTTTATTTTGTGGTTATTGTTCTTTGGAGTTTATGCAACTCGATTAATGATTAATTCGGTTCGTAAGATATTAGACATTGGAATTGTATTTTACACGATTTTTGTATGGAACTGCGGTAAGAAATTGAAGAATTAATCGTTGCATACAGTCAGTGGCAAAAACGTTGCATCGATTTGGTACGTACTAATTGTTTATTTACTTTTCGCTGCTTGCCGGGTGCGCAAGTAGTTTGTTTTGAATGTGGATGAAGCTGTGAGGCAAACTGGTTGGAGATAAGACGGTGGATCTTTGTGCGTTTGTGGGAAATGTGGGAGTGCAATATTGTATGGAACACAATATCGAAATTTTCAAATATCTGAATATTCAAATTTCTAAACTTCCAAGTATCTAAATATTCGTATTTTCGAATCTTCGAATCTTCAAATATCCAAATTTCTAAATTTCTAAAGTTCTAAAGTTCTAAATTTACAAATTTCTAAACTTGTAAATTTCCAAACTTGCAAAATACCTAAATATTCACATTTCCAAATTCCCAAACTTCCAAACTTGCAAATATGCAAATATCCAAACTTCCAAACTCCCAAACTTGCAAATTTCTACATTTCTAAATTTCCAAACTTGCAAATATCTAAATATTCATATTTCCAAACTTCCAAACTTCCAAACTCCCAAACTTGCAAATATCAAAATATCCAAATTTCCAACCACCAACATCAAACAACTTCCAATACACAACACCCGAAGACAACTTCCCACACCCTCCATCAATAAAACCAATTCCCCATAGTAACCCTACTTCCCAAGCATACTCTACCCCTAACTTCGCACAAAGGTACGCAATCAAGTTACAACCGTCAACCGAATCTTATTCAAAAACCAAAAACAACCCACTCTCAAAATAAACAACTGCCTTAACTGTTGCAATGGCTGTTGCACGAGACTTTGACTAGCACGCGAGCCGACAACTCGATATTAACTGTGTGTCATGAATAAAAGGTGTCCATTCTCACGATTTCTGTTTAAGATTAACTAGTCGTAATTAATCGCGGAATTATAAAACGTGCAGGACGACTCTATGATCATACCGCCGGACCCATGGACGCTGGTCGCGAGGTCGAAAGGTACATCGACCGCTTACGAGTCGGACAGTAGTAGAAGATCGAGCATTTTGTTACCGCCATTGTTAAACAATTCGAAAGTAAATGTCAGTCCAACTAGCAGCGACTCTCCTAGCGAGTGAATCCTTTAGAACTGTTCCTTTTCTCTTTCATCCCACTTCGAGGTCACGGAGGAAATTCTGAACTATCCCGAATTCATTTCTGTTCAACCGATTGCGCTGGAAATGAATTCAGAAATTTGGTCTTCTGCGATGAATTTTCTTTTTACCTATTTTCTCGTGTCAAACTAGACATCTCGTATTCGTATTCAACTAGAGATCGAGCAATCTTGTAAATACCTTCATGAAGATTCTTTAGAAGTTCATTGAATTTCTGACATTGAGAGCTTTCAGCTTGTAATCGGTGGATACTTTCTTGGAACGTGCAATGAACTTTTGAGGGGCTGATATGAGAGATGTTAATACGCTGGGTCTAGCCACGTGTTAGTCCTTGTGTTAGCAATTGGAGAATTGTTTTCCGATTTTCCCAAATTTCCAAATTCCCAAACTTCTAACTATCCAAGTTTCCAAATTTCTAAATATCTAAATTCCTAAATATATAAATTTCTGAATCTCCTAATTTCTAAATTTCTAAGTTTCTAAGTTTCTAAGTTTCTAAATTTCTATATTTCTAAACTTCTAAATGTCTAAGTTTCTTAATGTCTAAATTTCTAGATGTCTAAATTTATAAGTTCCTAAATGTCTATATTTCCAAATATCTAAAGATCCAAATTTTCAAGTTTCCAACTATCCGGATATCCAAATATCCACATTCCCAAATTTCCAAATCCCCAAACTTCCACCTATCCAAGTTTCCAAATTTCTAAATGTCTAAATGTCTAAATTTCTAAATATCTAAATATCTAAATATCTAAATATCTAAATATCTAAATGTCTAAGTTTCTAAATTTCCAAAAATCCAAATATCAATTATTCCATCAACCATCGCAACACTAAAAGAACACTTCGATCGCTAACCAAGGACTAACCGAAGTTCCAATAAGAACAGCAACAGTTCCTCGACGAACTCCGATCAATAAACAGAAAATTTTCTTTCAATCGGGACGCTCGCCAGACCGTGAAATTCGAAGAATCGCCAGAGCGGTCGGGAAAACCGTAAAAATTCGTATCAGAAATTCCTCCTGCAAGTGAACGATTCCGAGATTCGCGCGGTGACACCGGAGAATTTCTAAAAACGCGACGAAAGGGACAGCCACGAGTTTTCTTAAGAAACCGTCCGCCAAGAGCGGAACCAGAAAAACCTGGTGATGTTGCCAAAGAGATGTACACGGTGGGAAAAAAGTATTCACGCGTCACTGAAACCTTTAACAATATTATCTCCATTACGATATTAACAGTGGAACTATTGTGTAATTAAACTGACCATTTTTAACCATTCGCAATCATTAACCCTTTGCACTTGACAATATTTTTCATTAAAAATATTCATTACTTTCCGACTAAATATTAACGATATTTCTCGCAACTAACACAATTGATTATCTTCTATAAATTAAGAGACAGAACTATTTTACTTTGATATTTTATGTGTTGATATATTACACAAGGTTTAATATTGAATTGAAAATTTTTTAATTAAATGCTCTATTAATTCCTATTACAACTACTCACAATATAAATCTGTAACATATAACTAGAACTCCAACGTCTCAAACAACTTCGAGCTCGAAATTGTGGAAGTTTTCAATTAAAAAATTCATTAACTAATTTTCTAATCTCCAAACGTTCAAATCGAACTAAACACTGCTCGAAATTTCAAAGTAAAGAAACAAGAATATTCCAAACTGCAGATTCCTCAAAATTTCGATCAACTGATATATGTATTAATTAACCAACTAATCATTCCCCGAAGTACTAGTCTTACAATGGCAAAAGAAATCACTAACCATTTCGGCAACGGTAAAAAATGACCCACGCCTGATGTCTTTTTGCAATTATTAGAAAGCTAACAAAAGTTTCTCTGAGAAATTATTAAAGAAATTCATTTGGCACTACGCTAATCGTATTGCAAATCAATTAAAATCCGAACAGATGCACTCTTGGAGTTTCTACAGCGAAATGTTCAAAAGTCAATCGAACTGCTCGATAGTTTTAGTGTTAACTTGTTAGTACAAAATTTGGATGTGTGGAAAATCGAATAATTTTAGGGTAGTTTCTTTAAGATTCATTAAAATATTTAATATTGTAACTGGTACAATATTAGAGCTTACAGAGTTCAAAGGGTTAAAACGCTCGGTACCATCGACAGAACAAATCGTTAATAGGAGATCGGAAGGAAACTCCGATTCAACGATCGAAAGACAACGAACGCTTTTCTCTCGCCGTGTACCGAGACGAAAACAGAAAAGGGAGAAAAAAAACAATGGTTACGTAGGTCCATCGATCGCCAAACTTTACGCACGTTTCCACGTAAGAATTTCGCTTTTAGATTGAGTATATATAGGTAACGGCAATAAACAACGGACATTAGCGGAGGTGTCAAGAGAGAAAAAAGAAAAAGAAAATTCGGAGAAACGAGGAAAAAAAAATTGGTAGAGATGAAGCGACACCGTCACCGACAAAGATAGTTCCTTAATGTGAATCGAAACGTTAGACGCACCAATTAGGGATTAAAGTTAATGATCGTTTTAGGGGCGTGCCCGTTTTAGCTAGTTTGCACCATTTAAATGAGCTTTCCACTCAACTGGGGGACTCAAGAGTGGCCGGCGGGTTTTCCGCCGGCCGTACTTACAGTATTGTATTATTTACTATCGTCGTTATTATACACTTATATTATACAAGATATATTATACACGGACGTGAGAACGCGCGTGCACATATAAGGGGACGTATTCAACGAGCGCGGAGAATATCGTTTGCCAAAAGAGTTTTCACCGGTTTCCATGGTTTGTTGTCACTTTCTGTTGAATTATTGACACGTTGCGTACCGGTAACGAGAAATCCCGTTTAATCTCGTTTTTACTTAGCTATACAACTTCGCTAATTACTGCAGCATTGAAAAACATATAAAATTTAATTCGAATTGATTATCTATTTAAAATATATTACATAACAATATGATGTCTGAGTTTTTCTATGTATAGTAATATAAGTTGACCTCAGTGAAAATTGCCATTCGCACAATTCAATTTTCTGAAAATTAGCCGGTACGCAATGTGTTAACACTAGACAATCGCATCAGTCAAAATTACTGGTTTCGACGTTTTTATTTCGTAATTATTGATATCTTAACCAGTTAACTGTGTTTGACAAGTATACACGTCATCTTAAAACTCTTAATGGTGCTAACTTTTTCAACGATGGGTTATTTATTTTTTGAATAAATTAATTCTTCTTCGTTTTGCTTTAGTTTTTCGTTAGGATATATTTTAAGTGCATTTGGCCTGCATTTAACGAGTATAAACTTCATTATTTGATTTTATTGCGCGCACAATGAGAGATTTTTCAAACGAAGTTCTACACTTAACTGGTTAAAAGCATTGAATATTCGAAATGATCTTGAAAGTTTCACTTGAATACTGTAATGAATGTCTGAAGAAATTGATAATAAGCAATTATTACAATTTTTATAGGGATTACGTATTAATCGTATTAAATGCTTGGCAGTTCTAGTGTTAAAATAATTCTGTTAGGTTTATTGTTTCATTTCGTCGATTCTATTTGATTAATTTCATCGATTTTGATAAATTCTATTAACCGTTTGGATAGAAAAATTAATAAGTACTTATCTAATGAGATCATAAATATTGTGTTATTACACAGAAATATCAAGAAATAACATTTATTTAAATAGATTTACTTTGATTTATGTCTTGAAGAATACAGTAAGAAAATTATAATCGATACTGATAAATTGATACTCAAACGGTTAATTGATTTGTTCCATTAATTCTGTTTGATTCGATCAATTCTACTTGGTTAATTTCATCGATTGTTTGATTAATTCGAATTCTATTTAATTCATTTTCACTCGCAACGGAATAGAACCAATTTCAACTGAATTATTCCCGACGAATTTCTTGATTTCTTAAGGAAAAGAAAAAGATTCGCTTCGTTTGAAACGGTGCATTATTTTATGTTCAAAGGGAAGCCATCTTTGAAACATGGAAAAAAAATGTGAAATGTAGGATATTCTCGTGGGAATTTGAGATCTTGTATTAAACTGTAATTTGCTGATTATTATACTGTACTTTGCATTGTGCCTGTTTTAAGTGATCGTCGATATTGTTGTAGGGAATATTATTTGTAACCGTTATTGTCGAGAGCACCGATGCAGAGGGTATTATAATCAAATGTTCCGTGGAAATATAAGACGTTCTGATGCCAAAATAGGATGATAAGACTTTTCAACGACGAAAACCACCCCCTGTATATGTGTATCCGTTCGTAAATATATATACTTATATACACATATATTTTCTATGCAAAACTTTCGGGATTTCCGGACGTGCGTTCTCCGTTAGATATTTTCCTCGCAGATCTCTGTAAGTTACTTAAGGGAATTCATAAGTTTCGTTTATATGGAGTATGTGAATTAACCCTTTGCACTCTGAACTGAAAGTTTTTTACTAGAAATATTCAACGCTCTTTGATAAAATATAGACGATGCTTGTTGCGACTAATGTAAATAATTTAACACGTTGAACGCCGCACGATTTCATAGAGCAAAATACACAAAATGGAAAAAATACAATATTAAACCATTTGACTGAATTGGAATATTATCATTGCACGTTCATCAAACTGAATGTCACCACAATGGGTAGCATTATTTATAATATAGAAATATTTGCGAACAATCATCGTTTAATTGAGTGAATTATAGTAATTCGATTTACTTGGGGGTCACCGGTGACCCCCATGGCATTCAACGTGTTAATCGATAAGTTAAGGGACAAGGTAATTTACTTTGATATTTCCCATAATGATGCGTTATATAAAGTTTAGTATTAAACATGAAACTTTATAATTTTACTGTATTAAACCAAGTGGTGACTGAGAGTGTCCCGAGTGCAAAAGGTTAAATACACGTTCCTTTCAATCCCCTGAATTCAATTAAAAGATTGTGAAGCTTATAATTTCCAAGAAAAATATTCCTTCCCCTCCTGCCTTCTTAGTTGCATAATTAACAGGGAATCGGTTTTAGAAAGATGTAACTTAAACGTTTGAATAATTATGTGAACAAGAAAAAATGACGTTGTTATTGAAATAGTTTAATTGATTAATTATTGGAATTTCGTTTTGCTTTTGATATGTGAGTTATATTGAGAAATATTTCAGTATATTGAATGAATATTCATGGTTCAGTTGCGTACGATTAAGTTAATTAGAAAATTCAATTGAAATCTTAGTGAAATCCCTTCTGATGAATTGGTCGAAATCAAGTCCGGAAAATCCCTGAAACAATGTCAATTTCTCTTGAAAGACTTTCGTGAGGAGACTTGGGAATAAAGAACCTTGCGGGTAAGCTTAATTATAAACGATTAATTGAAGGTTGAACGGTATCCGAACGGCGATAACGTTAAGGATAATTATAATTTAAGTTCATTGATAAACGGTGCCTGGCGGATTAAAACTAGACCTTTACGAGAATCGTCCGACGAATTGATTGCAATATTTGTATCGCTGATTATACAAGCACTTACATTTTGCGTCTATTAAAAGAAGAATTCATTCGATGTCATTGTATGTGTAAATAAAGATAGATTATCTTTGACAACGGCGATCGTTGTATTCACTCCTTGATTATCCCCGTACGCTTAAAATCTATCTTGACCGTTTGGATGCTAAACAACTTTTCTGGATATTTACCAAAAATGAAAAATTAATAAGAGTAGTTATCTAATGAGATCACAAATATTGTATTACAAAAAATATCAAAAAATAACGTATATTCAAATAAATTTACTTTGATTTATTTCTTGAAAAACATAGTAAGAAAATTATAATTGATACTCCACAATTTTGGCACAACACAAGAGAGCACTCAGCGTTCAGCACTCAAACGGTTAACCATTGTCCACGGGGAAGCGAACGAATGAAACGATAAAGAGTAATATCAATGAAAAGGCACTTACCTGTTCGAAGCCACCCAAAAGTTCCATGGTGTCCGTCGCGGAATTCACGACGATCGTTTTCAGCTTCTGCCCTGCCACACTCGCCAGAAGATGAACGAGACTGGTCTTCCCGCTTCCGGTGTCTCCAATCTGATTAAGAATTTTATAAACCGTAAGAAACCGTCGTCAAATATAATCATAAAAACGATTCAATACATTGTAGAAATACATAAATGATAAAACAATTATAGAATTATAAAAATGATTAAGAAATCGTGTAACTATGGAAATGATGAACACTAGAACTACCAGAGGAGTCAAATGACCCGTGCCTGATGTCTTCTTTTTGCAATTATTAGAAAGGTAACAAATGTTTCTCTGATTAATTTAGCACTACGCAAATTGAACTGTAAATCAATCAAAGTCTGAACAGATGCACTCTTGGAGTTTCTATAGCGAAATTATAAAAAGTCAATTGAGCTGCTCGGTAGTTTTAGTGTTAAGAAATTTAATAATTGACTACTCGCTACAATCTAGACTTACAAGGATGCTTATCCAATTCATGTGAACGCACTGCACGAGGCTTCTGAAAACATTCTTCTGACTTCTGAGTAGCAACAAATCATCTTCCCCGAGCACCATAGACTGCGTACGACATAACACATCATAAAGCCCTGCAAAGACCCTCTCTCGTATAAAGCAAACAGAGTACTCTGAGTCCGGCAAGGGGAAATACTCCAACGGGAATACTTCATTGAAAATCTCTATCACCTACACAAATAAGGAGGATGAATTTAAGTACGCAGATCCGGAGGATGAATGAGGTGAAATTACCTTCGCTCTGTCTTGTTCTGTCCTCATTCTGTCGATGTAAAGTAACCGAGCACCCCTCGCGGGGTCAAGTACGACCGCTGTGGGTGTACGAGCCTCCAAGGTGATTTGGCACCACCTGACGAGATCCCTGATGTTCATCTCCCACGGTGACCCCGAATGAGCCCACGTGACGCCAGCTTCGGAAGACACTTTCTCGTTGAACGTGATCATTTTGGTTAGTAACAGTTCGGGGAACTGCGGGAACTGACTCTTCAAGATGATCAGCAAGTCTTCTTGGTTCGGGGCGTCAATGAAAACCTAAAAGACACACCAAAATTAGTACTAATAAGACTCATTGCTAAAGAAAGATTGAATTAACGTTTAGAGTGGTTCATTGAGTCGCTCAGAAGTCAATGGAGTCAAGTCCAGTTCTTAATATTTTCTGATTCTTGTATACTCTGATTAACACTAAAACTACCAGAGGGATTAAATGACCCATCTGATGTCTTTTTGCAATTATTAGAAAGGTAACAAATGTTTCTCTAAATTATTAAAGAAATTCATGTAGTACTATGCAAATTCAATTGTAAATCAATTAAAGTCTGAACAGATGTAGCGAAATTTTCAAAAGTCAATTGAACTGCTCGGTAGTTCTAGTGTTAAACGAATGAACCAAAGATTTGAAAAACCAATGTATTGAAACACATTTCTGAATTTTTGTTTGCTGTACTTAACCATATTGTCTTCTGAGCAACTCGGTTATTATGTACTTGTGTGAAACGATTCAGAAATGACTTTGGAAGTCCGCGTCTAGCTCCGCCTTGGCGCAGAGGGTTCTGGCAAGCGAAGAATCGCGTGTTCTGGTTCACTTGGAAGTTCATCGTCAATTCTGGAATGTACACTTCTCCGCGATGATCGAAGCAAGCGTTCAGCCCTTCCAGGACCGACTGGGAGGCAAGGTTTAATTCGTCGAGGAGGATCCAGTCGCCATTCCTCATGGCCCTGAGGAATACGCCGTCCCTCCATGAAAATTCTCCAGGCCTGCCCCCCTCGACTGGCAAATCAGCTCCAAATAAATCAGAAATGTCCTGCGTAACGTCACCGATTGTAATTGCAATTCTCAATAATTTCATTCGAATGTTAATCCGTCGATTTACCGTCTGATCGCTGAGATTTATCCTAAGAATGCGATGCCCGGATGCTACGGCGATAGCATAGATCAAGCCGGTCTTGCCAACTCCTGGACTGCCCTCCAATAATATTGGTTTATTCAAGTACGCAGCGCGCAGAACTTTCAACGTGTTCATTTTAATCGTCGGACTCGTGAAAGTGAAACCTATGTTATCCGGAATTGGCATGTAACTCTTCGTCACGTAGAACGACGAAATGCCGAAATTGCATTCGTTAGTTTCTATCTCCGCTTGTTCGCAGCTGAAATCCAACTCGGTTTTACTGATGTCCCATGCTCGACGTTTGATAAACTCTGTCGCCGAATCTTTGAACTCTTTCAACTTCGCTGGACTGGAACATAACGTTCTATATGAAGCAAAAGCTGTGCAGATAAATTTCATTGAAATTCATGAAATACTTTCGGCTCGTTTACTTTTCATTAGCAGTGGCGCCGGATCCCAGACCGTCGATGAACGTCACCGCGGCTCCGTGGTAGAAAGCGAAAGCTTCTTCCATCTTCGCGTCTACGCAGCAGTTGATGAACGTCACCCACGTCATTACATCTCTGATACTGACGACCAGCTTCTTTCCTATCTCCGTTTTCTTCAGCCACTCGAGGAACTCCAGGATTCCTGACTTAATACCCGAGCAATCCTGCACTTCAAAGTGAAGGTTCTGTTGCATAATGAGGTCGAGGTCTTTGGGCGATGGACAGCCGCCGCACCAAATTTCGGTGAACCTGTTTCTCAGTGCAGGTGACAGTTCTTTCTTCCCGTAATCGCCACCAGGATTCATGGTACCAACGAAGATGAAATCCTCGTGTGCAGTGATGGTCGCGTCTTCATCGTCAGACGATTTCTCGGCGATCAAAAGCTTGCGTTCAGGTTCTACAGTGAAAAAACGAGAAAATATGTAGGGAGCCATACAAGAATTCATTTCGTTAATTATTACCTAACAGAGAGTTCAATCGTTCAAGGACGCTATCATCTGCCAGAGATATCTCATCCGCCAAGAAGAAACCTCCCTCCTTCATGGCTTGCACTAAAGGCCCGTCCACCCATTCGAACAATTTCTGGTTATCCTTGTGCTCCCTAACAGGTCGAAGGCTGCCCAGGAAGTCTGAGGCTTCCGTGTGCATGTGGCAATTAATGGTGCTGAGCTCTTGATTCCTGAATCTCGCCAGCATCTGGCAGACTGTCGTTTTGCCGCATCCCGTTTCGCCTATCAGGAGCACTGGCTCTTTGAATTCGCAGGCCTTCGTGAGCAGCACCGCCATCTTAATCATTGGGTATGTAGGAACCACGTGCTCAAACTCCTGTACACTGCTTCCGTAAAGAGACTTCACGATTTCTTTAGTCACGGGTGACGTCTTCTCGCTGTCGACGAACAAAGACTCTGGATCGACGTCTCGTTTCAGATGCTTCTTTATGGCCTGTATAATCTCTGAATGTTCCTCGGCGTAGCGAACTTTCGAGGAAAGGACCAGATACCCTTCGTCGGCCAAGTGCTGGCTCCAATCGTATAGAACACCCTCGTGAGCAGGCGCCAGTCGGTATCTTTCTCCCCAGCGGAACAGATCTCTGAGAGTCATAAACCCTGTGAGAAGAATTATGTTTGAATCGTAGCAGGGAATAATTCTATGGGCTGAATTTTTGTTCATGGTTATAACAAAATCTATGCTGTGCAAAATTAATAAATATCCACATACCATCAAACAAGTATATTTTATAACTTTCAATGGCGTTAAACTGTCACGCCTGGGCGTGTAAAAGTTTAAGTTAACTGATTACTTAATTTTATTCGCCACTTTGAGTGCAAAATGAAATAAATCAACAAGCTGCCAATATACTGATATGTGACTTCAAAGTTAAATGGGCCTACAGAGGGTTAAAATATCTTCTTATCTCGTACCCTTCTTGCCAGCGAATGTAGCAGTACTCTTTCTTCTGACTTGAAGCTCTGTCATCACTCCGATTACTTGTTTCGAGTACGTCTCCGGCATTCTACATCTTTTGCGCAATATCTCTTCCAACTCTACCGGTGGGATTTCAGCGAAATGCAGCTCGACGAATCTATTTCTGAATGCGCGCGACAACGCCTAACAAAATGAATAAATAATGAAGCTCACGACCTTTCTGTTAAATGGTAATAAATGGTGATAAGTCACTACCTTTCTTCCGCCATACAATCCTGGAGGATTCTGGGTGGCGAACAGCATGAAATTCTCGTTTGCCTTAACAACCTGTTGCGTCTCTGGGATGTACAATTCCCTATTGTCATCGAGAACTCTGTTCAAAGCTTCCAGAACGTCGCTAGGTGCCAAATTCAATTCGTCCAGGATTATCCAATATCCTGAAGAGAATTTTACGTTTCTTAATAGGGAAGCTACATCCTGCTTCATAATTCTGTCATAAAATTTGTGCACAGGTTGTACCTTTGCGCATGGCGTCTACTAGAATACCCTCTTTGAAGACTAATTTTCCAGTAGAGTCAGCTATGTAAGTACCAACATACTCTTGCAGATCGGTATGCTCGTGATTGTTAATTCTAACACAGATATGTCCAGAGGCTTTCGCCAAATAGGTGATCAAGCTGGTCTTTCCGACAGATGTGTCTCCTTGTAACAACACAGGCATTTTTCCAATGGACACTACCCGTAGTAAATCCTTCAAGTTCTGTCTTACGGTCTCTGTAAGTACGTACTGAAATAGAAAGCAGATCAGTAGCTTCCAACCTTTTCGAAGAGGAAATGTTAGAACGAAGAGAATCTTGACATACGCTCTCTGAAATTTCAGGGTTAAGGTCACCCTTGTGAATCCAGTATCCTGCAAAATTGATATAACTGTCGCTAACTACACTATGTGGCCTTGGAATAGGGGTCCCGAGAAGTGCACTTGCAGTCTTATTGCCTAGGATAGCTTTCACTATCATTTTTAGTACCAACGGATAGGACTGGCTGTCCAGTTGTGTTAGGAAACTCAAACAGAATGCTTCGTACAGAGATCTCAATGCGTTTCCGCATGGATTCTGCGAAGATATGCTCAATGCCCTGCATAATGTCCTTAAGCTATAGTGTGGTTTATGGCCGATTCCATCGAGAAGGTTCGTTTCAGCCTCCTTCCTGATGTTCAAGTAAAACTTAACGATATTATCGATCTTCTCGTTTGGAAGGTTTAGGTCTTTCAAGTACGAGGTCACAAGAAGCTGTAAATCGGACTTCTCTGTAAGCTCATCGACAAAAAATTCTGTAAATCTATTCCTGAGTCCCACGGGAAGATCCTTCTTCCCAACATCGGTGGCTGGATTCATACACGCGAAAATTGCGAAATCCGGATGCCTTTTAATCGGTTCCTTGTCCCCGCGCTCTAACAAAGAGAGTGATCCGCCAGAGTGCTCCAGTAAGCCAGACAGGCAGTCTAATGTTTCTGCGGCAGCCAAGTTGATCTCGTCCAGTAAAACCCAGTCTCCATTCTTCAACGCCTTCACTAAGCCGCCCTCGACGAAAGAAAATGCCAATGAATAATTGCTCTGTACCTGGGATTGCAGTTTCTCCAATTTCTGAGCCATGATTTCCCACTTCTTCAACATCTTCAGTGTGTCCTGATTCGTTGGACTTGCTCTTAATCTTTTCAATGCTGCGGCTGTGCTATGAGTCATCAGAGTGGACAGTGTCTTCCACTTTTTCTCTTCGAAGCAATGTCCAATGTGGGTGAGAAACTTTTTATTAGGCTCGATCGCGAAATACGATCGGAACAGAACTTCGAATTCTTCGCGAATTGGAAGCATGAGCAGCTTGAAATCTATTGGTTTATAGCCGCCAAGCAAATCCGTACTCTCGCTCTGTTGATTCATGTTTATCACTGTTAACTTGCTACCCGTTATTTGCGCGAGATATTGAATGCAACTCGTTTTGCCTGTTCCAGTCTCGCCGACGAGAAGAACGGGCTCCTTCTGAGCAACACAACTGGCTATTCGCTCTAAGAGACACACGGATGGTCTTGTGTAAGAGAAATTCGAACCTTTATTTGCGAGTTTAACGCTTTCGGATCTTTTTATGTCCAATTTTGCCCTGCCAACTGTTAAACTCTGTTTATATATGTTCACTGATGGCTTGTGCACGTTGCAAAAGTACTCTGCTTTTGTTTTTATAATACCTAACTTGTTTGCTACTGCTATTGCTAAATTCAGTCGTTGAGCTGTAACGTAAACACCCTTTTTTTAGTAACTGTAAGGTATAACTGGATATCAAAAGCTGATTAAAATTTATTGTACATACCACAGTTGGATACGGAACAGCAAAAGACATCCAAAGCGTCTTGAAATATTTTTAATGCGGATACAGGTGATGATACATCAAAATCAACAACAGCTCTAGAGCACCACTTAATCAAATCCCTAGTAGAAATCTGTCTGGCATTTCGTATACTATTTATGGCATCATCTTCGTGATTATCGACGGAAAACAACAAAAATACATCGATCATTCTTGTGGCCACTGTTTGTAACACTGGATATAAGACTTGCACAACAGTCACAAGTTCTTCTTTGGATAATGGTTCCACATAAACACTGACCCAATCTTTCTGGTATGGTATGGGCATTTTGAGTGACCTGCGTGCTCCTTCAGCTGCTAATCTCACAGTGACAAATAACTGGAATCCACTCTTTACACGTATACAATCTCTGTATCCAGGAACCGATAATGTTTTATTTTCAACAAGTTGCCCAATAACGCTGAGAACATCTGTTGGGGCACAATCAATGTCTTCCAGAAGTAGCCACTTGCCAGATAATACAGCTTCCGTCAAAATGCCTGGTTGCCACAGAAATTCTCCAGGGATATCAGTACATAAATACATTCCTAATAACATTCTAGAGTCTGTTTGATCGCCTAATTGTACTTTCACAAAATTCTTTGCATCATGGCCTGTTGCCTCTGCTAGGAAATCCACTAATGCGGTCTTTCCAGAACCAACAACACCTTCTAAGCATACACATTTATTAGAAGACACTGCAAACGCTACATTTTGCAAATTTCTTCTGGTGGATGGTACTGGTATTAAATTCGTTTCTTTATTAGACTTTAATTTATTGAAGACTGGAAGGAGGACTCCTCCAATAGGAACTACCGGTTTCAGATCACTAAACAATTCATCTATTTCATCAGTGTCTACGGATGTTATGTTATTTTGACTAACTTTTCTATGTAGTAAAAAAAGTTCATGGCTCTTTGGAAATAAGTTAATCAGATGATTTACACTAGATGATTCTGACATTTCTAATACTATTACAATACAATTCGTTGCTACCCTGGAAAGTAATTAGAAACAATTACCTTTATGTATTAGCACAATTGATACTGCTACTCCATTGGTAGAAGATAATTATATCCAAAATAGCATTACCATTTAACAGCTTCATCTTCAGCAGTCAAATATTTATAAAACTTGGACCAATTCCATATATGCTGAAAATGCATTGGTGCACTGCACAGAATGTCATAGCATGATTTTATTAAATCATAATCGGAAATTTCAGGAATAGACGATGCTCTCCTTCTGTTATGTTTTTTAGAAGATGGAGTATAATCATCTTCTAGTGACTCGAATGGTGCTAGATTGACATCGAAATAATGTAGAACAAATCTATAATTAAATAATGAGTAATTCCTTAATAATTCTATGGTCTGTAACATCGCATGTAAACAATAAACACAAAACATCTCATACATTACAACATAAAAAAAAATAACACGTACGTTAATAAATCACGATTCTTGGAAATAAGTTTTCCTAAAATAACACAATTTAATTTGTGAAACACATCTCCATCACTGAAAGAAACTTTCTCCAGAGGTATGCTTGTAGAAACTAATGCGGGTAATAATTGTGGAAAACACTCAGCAACATCGTCGGTACACTTTGAATTCATCAAAAAATCACATAAAATATTCAAAATCTTCTCACGATCATGTTTATTAAGTTCCTATAACATAATACGGATTTAAAAATTGAAGATTGTTAGGTTAATTAGGTTAACGAAAGGAACTCGGCGTGAACAAACACAAAGAAAGTACGACGTACCTTGACATTCTTATATGCAGCAAACTTTTGTGCATAGATTTTTTTTCTCTCGGCAAAAACCGCCACACTTTTCAGCAACATGGTAAATCACACGAAAACAGATTACACGTGCACTTTGATGTAATCGTTTAAATCGATGGATAACTACCCGCGTTTTCGGACACTTTGTCTGAAGATAACTCTTCATGAAAGTCAGGCTGGACTCCTCTTACGAAGAAACTCCCTAGGGTGTTTCCATCACTAGATTTGTCCCTAGAAATATGCGGGAATTTTGAAACACACAATATATAAGAATAAATGGAGCAACTCCAATAAATCAATTTGTCTTGAACGAACTATTCCTAAATCTCTACGAGTAATATTCAAGTATGAAACTTCAAAAATAAAGGTACCATGGACCAGTAAATTGTTTCAATCTATATTTAATTTAACATACAAAAAGTACAATTGATTTTTTACATTTGATCAACGAAAACAATAAAACCGAAGTTAAAAGACTTCTGGGTACGCATTCAGTTCGTCTTTCAACTTCTTCTCCAACAGAGGCAAGGACATATTGTCCACCTGAGCATTAAAACTAACGTAAACAGGCTTCGAAAGTTTCTTCGACAATCTCTTGGCAAGATTGCTCGATACGTCGTCAGAGATTGGTCCAATAATTTTCGTAGTAATTGGTTCGTTTGTGGAAGGCGATATAATAGCAAAGGACAAGTCATTCATTATTTTCTCATGCGAATCACCCACCCACAAATACAGGCAATCATCCATTTTAATAGTATGACAGGTGAACGTTGTGTTACCAATTTCCACCGCAAAATCATGGAACTTAAAACTGCATTCGCATTCTGTCTCATTTGCCCTGCGTTCTTCCATTCTCTTTAATTCTGATTACACGACTTCTCACTCGTTTATTAACTGCTCAAGCAATTTCACTATCAAAAATACTGTGCAGTCATTGAAATATAACCTTCAAATTCGATATTCTTGCAACACACAAAAACGACTATGGATTACAATTCATATAGCAGTAAATTACCTACAATGAAAACTCCAACGGCAAATTGTTAGTTTAAATTCTCTTCAGTCGATATTAAGCGTTAACAATTGTCTTCAGACGCAATGTTTAACGACAATCATTTCATCGATGATCACCGTCCAATGGTTTGATATGGCTGTCACGCCATCTATGGAGAAACTGAAACTACACCATAAATGTTGTAAGTTACGTTTACTGTCATCTGCTGGAGAAATGTGACACTAATCAGCGAGTAGCTTGGCGATTTTGCCGTAGATGGCAGCGTGTATTTCAGTCGACATGATATTTTTAAAATAATATTAATTTTGTATAATCTTTTCACTGTAAAAAGACTTTAGACTTCTCTAACTCTATGAAACTATAATATAAAGCTTGAATATATAATTATAAACATTAATAGATGACTCTATATTTCATTATTTTTTAAATGATCTAAAAATCGAAGGAATAATTAATAACACAATTATGCTATAAATTAGTACCAGTAGTACATTATATAAATTTATAGACACTAATAAAACTCTAGTTTCTTCAACATTGTTTATTGCACACGTTTACTCAAATTCGGAATTATTAATTTCAAATTTCTGCATTCATCTCGAAACTAATTAACAGCCACTTTCTAAACATGAAATTAATTTCCAGAGATAGATGGCGATATCCTAATTTCTACGCAAATTGTCGTTAACAATCAATTCTTCAAACATTCCAAAACCTAAACAATTCCCAAATTGTCTACACATTTTCATATAATTATAACGTAAATGTTCAATCTCAAAGAAACTAAATCACAAAAATATCACAAAGTTATAGTTATAACTAAATATCACAATCCCAGTATCATAAACAATATCGAATCTGTCCGACATATCATTATTTATCGTTCAACGACGTCGATCGTAAATAACAGCAACATGCTACCAGTCGTTTGCGCAATGCAGGATTCGTTGTCCGCGGGTATGCGATAAAAAAAAAACATTAATTTGATTAAACAAGAGCAGGCCACGAAAAACGAGGATAAACATTACTTTTTTCCACGCCACCCGGTATGACAACTACATATCTAGCCGGGCTTATTGATATACCTGCACCGGAATCACCTGCATGTGCAGTGAGCTGTATACCTAAGCCTCTAAACGATCGCGGCGCGTATAATTTATGAATTATTATTTTGTGCTATAATGTTGGCCCCACTGTACGCGCGGCTGTTTCAAGTCACACCAACGGGGAGTCCCATCTTGTTGGAAACTGAGATAAAAAGCACACCCATTGGCGTAACGCCTCGGAAATACCTCGCTGACATTCGTTCTCTAACTTCGTCACGAGGCAGTCAGTCAGTGTACTCTACTCGGTGTACAAACAAGTTCAACGGATTGTTGACCCTTTGAACTCTAGGCTCCAATATTGCACCAGTTATATTAGATATTTTAATGAATCAAATAAACTACCCTAAAATTATTAAACTCTCCACACATTCAAATTTTGCACTAAGGAAAATAAAAGATCGACGAAATGTTATATTTCTAATTTTCGCTAGGGATACTATGAAAATTAGTTGCAGTTGCTGATAGATTACAAAACCATCTGAAGGGCTAAGGGTTAAAGATGAGGAGAGTTCACTGTTGCTTCTAATGTAGGTAGGATAGTTTTGTTGCTTAAACTATACGAATAAGTGAAGTAAAAGTTTGAAGCTTGAAGTTTGTGAAATGAAGTAAAAGTTTAATATGAATATTAACACTAGAACTACCGAAGATTTAATACGACTGATATGGAATCCCTATAAAAATTCTAATGGATTATTTTCGGTTTCTTCAGATTCATTATAGTATTCAAGTCAAAGCTATTTATTTTCGATCATTTCGAATATTCAGTGTTTTTGTGAAACAAAACAATCGAAACCAGTCATTTTGACTGGTACGTAGTTCTAGTGTTAATATACTGTAACATACTGCTGACTATATTGAATCGATAAACAGCGATTTTTGGAATTCGTAGCTACATTTCCCAATTTCCAATAAAAAGAAAGCGAACGGTTTAATTAACCTTTCCCAAAGTCCTAAATACCGCACGCCATAAACAAACACCCCAGAAAACCCTGTATCCGACCTCTCCGCAAAGCCAAAGAACAAACAGCCGCTATAAATTCAGTGCTTAACCAAACATAGAAGCCATCTCGAACGGCAAACAATTAAAGAGTACCCGGGTAAACTCATGTCGTCGATTACCGTCACCGCAAAAGGAAGACATCTCACGAAAAGCACCTAAAGAGACTATCCTCGAAAAGCATTTCACTTATTAAGCAAATTGCCCCGCGTCGATATACTCCGAAGGAAACATGGCGAAATATTCCGAGTCATTAAATAAATTAGCAAACATCGATACACGTCGAGGGGAAACGCCGGGATATTCGGAAACGTGGAATATGAGAAACGGGGCCCGTTGGTTACGCCAATGGCGCCGCGCGAGAAACGAGGCGTGCAGGGGCGTCGGGAGGGCGGAGGGCTCCGCAGGGGGACTTGAGGAGAAAGCGAGAGGCGCGCGAGAGAGAGGGAGAGAGGTGCAACCGATATGGCGCGGCCAGGTAGAGACGAGGGGGCCGAGCCCCGTGTATACTATAATTACGAGTAACTCAGCCACATTTGCGTTGATCCGACACCTTAAAGATAACATTTAGCGGCCCCTTTTATCTCCGCGGCAAACAAACCAATTTATACCTCGGGCCCGCTTTTGTGCGCTTCTCCTCCGTCCACCTTCGGGCCCGATTCCCCTCGGCTTCTCTCGCCGCCCTCCCCGCTCTCGCTCCCTCCGACGGGCTCTCGAGGGAAAAAACCCCGCCCCGAACTACGAATTAGGAGCATCCTTCTCTCCTCCTTTTGCCAACCCCTTCGTCTTCTTCCCTTTTTGCGCTTTCCTTCGGCTCCTTCGTTCGCCCCCTTTACACCCCGCTTCGCTGGTTCTTCAATGATTTACCACCAACCCTTTTGCCAGCGTGTGTGTGACTCGTTTTTTGAGCAGTGCTCCGTACGACTTGTCCTTTGCTCTCGGTGAGTTAAACCCTTTGGACGAGGATTGTTGGAAGTACGAAATATGTAGATTCTAAATGGAACACTGAATGCTTAAATCGTAGGATAAGGAAACTTTGTACTGATTGCTCGATGAGTTTAACCCTTTGGACGAATGTCGACGTTTCGAGATGAAGTTTTCATATTTGGAAGACTAAGTCGCGAAGAAATGATTTAATTACTCGAACAAGAGATCAGCACTTAGTTTCCTTTTTTTCTATTGTTTAAGAAATTGATGTATAATTTATCTTCATCTGTTGAGGGTTTTGTACGTTTCAAAGAATCTCCGACCGCGAAGGGTTAATCGATTGCTGTGTAACATTGTGTTAGATTTGTGGGGATTTCGAATGGAATTTAACTCTTTGCCAAAGGCGCCTCAGTCAACTTTCGATTGGTGCTTCAAAATTGAAATTCCGAGTTGAAATTGGAGTTTTCTTTTTCAATGCATTATTAATGAAATTAGATCAGTCACGGTTCAGGAAGAAATCATAGGGCAAGGGTTGATGGGTTCAGGAGTTTCTTCTGCTTTTCGTGTGGCAGAGAGCAATTGTTCACAAATTTGTGAACACAATGTTCGTTTGAGCTGTGGTTCTCTGGTTACAATGTTTTAATTACATTTCATTCAAATTGTAACATGTATTGTTCAACCTTGATACGTTGACGTAAATGCCGATGCAGGTGAATGTAGGTATAAAGGACGTTAATTACCATCAGCGAGAAAGTATGAAGTATAAGTCTCTCTCCCAAATGATTAATAAATCTAAAAATTGAGTGAATCTAAAACTTGGAAGCTGATCGAAGACTGACAACGAAGTTCATAGAGCTGTGTCTAGTATCTAAATTCTATCTCTCTAAGACTTCGTCCGGAAGATGAATAGCGAATTAGCATCGAGAATCAGACGAGGAAACCTGAAAGCTTCACCCTAACAGGTAGCCTAACAAGACACCCCCTAATTGCTCCAGGTGCTATTGACTCAACGAACATCAAAACAGCTACCAACAGCGACAAACGACAACTTCCAGGTCAACAAACAGTATCCCTTCAGCCCCTTGTACATCCGCCAGGACTCCACCCAGGTCAACCTAGAAAACCATCAGAATTCATCATCATCATCGAAAACCTCAGCCCGAAAACCTCCGCCGTTTGGAATTTTTCGGATTCGTCGTCCCACGAAGGACAAGTCCCGGGCGGGGCGCTCGTTAATTACAGATTCCGGTAGAATTTCGAGGCAGCAATAATCCGTTGCAAAGCAAACAGAAGAGGGGTCCCGGACAAGTCGAAAAAACCGGGACCCGGCCGGCCGGCCGGCCGGGAAGGGACCGCTCGTGGTGGACTCGCGCGGAAGAACGAGGAAGGGAACGTGCCGCGCAGAAAAACCGTGAACCGAGGAAACGGGGCACGACGGGGGCGGCGACGGACGGGTTAAGAAGAAAACGTGCCGTGCCCGGGACACCGTCGGGCCGCGAGTTTTTCGAGTATCGGCCGGCGGAGCGAGGAGGACGGAGCGGATAAAGGACGAGGGGAAAAAAGACGAGTCGTCGAGGTTCAACGAGGAGGACGTGTAGCGAGAACACAAAGTCGGTCAGAGCGAGGCTGC